TCCTGCTGTGGAAATTATGTCTCTATGGCAGAAAAAAAAAAACAAAAAAACATTACCTCTGTCATTCAACATCCTGTTATGCTATGGTTGGAAAAAGTCTTTTTACATGGTAAAAAACACAACAAAGCATCTTCAGTACAACTCTTTGCTGCTTTGACACTGAAAGCATATGGTGAAAATAGACAATGGCATAAAGTCTACAAAGCAAAACTATTCTCACAACCATTGACATTTAAGGCACAGGAGATACCGTGAATAGGCACATTAAAGAAAGTGGCAATCACTTTCTTCTTTAAGGTTAGCAAAGACATTTAAAACATGGTATTGCTGACACATTTGAAATACCAGAAGACAAATTAATGTAGACATTTCACTAATACCGTCAATCTGAAAATCAAATATACAAATAATTGTGAAGCATAAAAAGAGTTAAAAAGCAGGGAGATAATGACTAATTCAAGGTAAACTTCACAAGGGCAGGAGTCATGTCTGTTTAATTAATTTGTGTATAACTAGCATTTAGCAGAGCATTTGGCTAGCAAATATTAAACAAATACATTTTTAAATAAATGAATTAATTTTTGGACAGATCAGACCATCTGCTTTCCCCCAGTCTATTAAAAATCATGAAATATTTTTGGTATTTAAAGTGACAAAATCTTAGCACTTATAAGTTTCAAATGCTATTAATACTGACAGATTACTTTTTCTTTAACTCGTTTGTGTAGATTGGTGAAGTTCAAAATTTCTTCATTTTTTTCTGCTAGAAGTTTAAAATTTTCCTCTCCCCCAGCCCCCAACAACTACATTTTAGCCTGGGGCTCTGTAATATTAAACTGGCATTAGGATAAAATTGAATTACATTGCCACTACAGTTGATTTTAGAAACAGAAATGTGTAATCAGGAATATGCTGTAAATCAGAGCCTACCCATTTGCCTTGATTCTTACTCCTATTTGGAGCTTCTGGGATTTAGAACTAGATTCATGAGTAAGAAAGAATTATTATATGCTGGAAGCCCACAGCTCTCTGTAAAACTGTAGGCAAATGCACAGATAATATTTCAGGTAATTAATTATAGATTTTTTTCCTTGAAAAGAGCTTAAATATATTTTTAAAATTTTAACATTATAAGATAATTTATTAACAAAGATAATACTTTTTACCATCATGAAAATGTACTCATGTCTCAACATATGGAAACTCAAATGAAGTGACTTCTGAGACTTAAAAACAACTCAGGATAAGTTTAGGAATAAGAACAAAGAAGTTTTAGAAAAAAAATCAGAAATATGGCAAATAAAATAAGAAATATATAAATGAATCTTTACTTTTCAAAGACGACATTTAATTAAATGGTAAATGTGTTTGTTTTGAAATCCTGTCAGAGTTTTCATAAATAAGGAAAGATCATTTGTTAGATAAAATTTTCTGATTTTTTGATTGGGAAACTATGGTTACCAACACCTATAATTTAAAGTTGTTTGGAAAGAAAATTAAACTCATTAAAAGACTTTTAATAAATTACAGAAAATATTAAAACACAAGTATAATGAAACTGGGAGTAGTTAACTTATTTAGAAAGAATGATATCAATAGCTGATAATTTACGAGTGACAAGGTCCATGAAAGCAGAGTAAGAAATGGAGTATGAAGTGTCAATGTACGCTAAATGTCAGGTGGCAATAAATAAGCAGAGAGTCACACGAGAGTTAACTGTGAATACTCTGGGTCTCAGGATCTGAAAACAATTTTGAGGTTACTATTTTGAGGAAAAAAGTAATCTCTGGATACCACTTAGCCTGTGTAACAGAAAAAGTAGAGTAGAAACTGAGTGAAAAGATGACTACTAGTGGAAAAGAACTGGGAAAGGGAGTCTAATGCTAGGGCCTCTAACTGTAATTAAAAAAAAAAAAAAAACTTCTTTCAAAACTTTTTACTTTTTAACCTTGTTTTCAAACTAGAGAAGCTATACATCTTATATAAAGAAAATTTCCTAAAATGTACAAATTAATGCAGAGGAAACTTCAAGTTAGAATGCTTTTAATTTTTCTAAAACTTACTTATTTCACATAATTTTAGAACAGAATGACCCTACATTTGATAAGCGAAATTCTTCAACTTATGGAGAAGAAATAAGTCCGTAGACATCTTGCCTGCTTAAGTCAAAGTAGAAGCTAAGTCTCTTGAATCTCAGATTCAAAACTCATTCTTTGCTCCTCTAAGTTTTTACAACTAAATGTTGAAAAAGTCTTTATTTTTTTTTCATTTCCAAATGGAAAGATAGTTTTTCAGACTGCTACCTACATTGAAGAAAAATTTTGCTTCTTTCTCTTCAATTTTATTCTGGATAGGTAATAATTTACAGAAACAAATTTAATTCTGTATGATCAGGTTTATTTGATAGATGGATTGGTATCACTTAGGCTTTTTTTTTTTTT